ATTACACGCCAATTTAGATGGCCACACAATGAGCGCGGGAAGGGGGAAGGGAGGTGGCAGGGTGTCAAGCGGTTGGGAGAGGGCATCAAATGGGTTTCCAATTCAAATTAGCCAGCGAGTAAAAAAACTCTCAGTTAAAATTAATGAAATGTATTCTCCTATATCAGCTGACGTGGCATGACATGACAGGATATCTGAGCAGATTCATTAGTCAATTATGTTTTATGTATGATATATATTTTATTATCTATATAAGGAAAAGAATGAATTTTCTTCAATAAGCCTTTGCTCAGTTCATTTAGGTATTTACCTTATAGATCTCCACTTTTATCTTATCTGTCTTCCCTATGATAATATATGTACTTAGACAAATAAAAGTTAAAGCTCTCGAATCTATTCACATGACGATTATTATATATTGGGTACAAGTTCCGTTGTTTTTTAATTTTTCATAAACAAAAATATTTGAAATGAAAAGTTCCAGAACTGAATTTTTTCTTTGTCGGACTTTTTTATATAGCATCATAAAATGTATTCTAATTGGAGTGTTCGTTAATGAGCTATCAAGCAAAAAACAAAAAACTCAGATCTATTCAAGTACAGTACTTAACTTGCCCTCTTTTCGCTAAAAAAAACCCTTTTTGATACGCCCTGCTCCTGCTGTGTTCAGTATTCTCTGGCATATTTGCTCTTGGTCGAAATTATCTTGGTTATTTGGCTCTTAATGTTATATAAATTTTGTGCAGTTCCTTGCTTTGCCTGCACCTTCCTCCTGCTGCTGCTGCTCCCTGCTCCTCCTGCTCCTGCTCCTGCTGCTGATACTGCTGTTCCTTCTGCTGCTGCTGCTCCCTGCTCCTGCTCCTGCTGCTGCTGCTCTTGCTCCTACTGTTGCTGCTGATACTGCTGCTCCTCCTGCTCGTGCTACTCCTGCTGCTGCTGATACTCTTTCTGCTGCTGCTACTCCTGCTGCTGCTGCTGCTCCCTGTTCCCTGCTCCTGCTGCTCCTGCTCTCAGCTGCTGCTGCCTTCTCTGTCTTCCTCTTCTTCTTTATCATTTTCTGCATCATCTTGTTGTTGCTGTTGGGCAATCAAGTCAAGCGTTTTCAGCGGGCTGTTTGTTTGGCCAACGATGTCACTCTTCCAATATATCTAAAGTGCCTTTTTAAATTGCTTTGGTCGTTTTCCTATTATGGCGGGTGGTTGCTGGGAAAGGAAAAAGCGCATAAAAATCAAAGTCCTGCCCAGGCCAGGCCAGCAGGCACTTCCCTCTCGCTCTCCCCCCTCTCTCTCTCTCTCTTTCCCTTTTTGATTCTAGTCTATTGTGTGGGCCAATGGCTCGCTGATGACCCATTTGCTTTAACGCGCCTGCTATCAAACTGCCAAAACAAAAGCCATCATCGTTAGCCCCAGTCCTCTGCTGGAGGTGGGGGCCATAGGCCAGTCGAGGCGAGATGAGGCCGGAGAGCGCGATTCGAACTGTTCCCTCGGGTTATGGGAAACGCTTCAAATGCCGTTTAAAATCAATTTGAATGATGAACTGGCGGCGGCAGCAGCGTCGGCCAATGCTGGCAGGCAGCGTCACTTTGACTTGGTCGCCGATGCCACATCAATATATTCGACACACACACACACACATGCATGCAGGCACACGTCAGTCTACCCCAGACTCACTCACACTCTTTTAACTCTTATCTCTCTTGCAGAATTCATACACAGCAGCGTGCGATATATCGAAATGTCGAACACGCATCTGCAGAGCGTCGACGATGAAACGTTTCAGGGTTTGCGGCTGAAGACGCTGAAGCTAATCGACAACGAGCTGCAGGACATATCGGAGCGCAGTTTCAGGTGAGTGTGAAGGTCGGCACGATGTGTGTGTGTATGTGGGCAGGAGAGGCGGTCTGCCGTTGTGGCCAGTGGTTGGGGCGCGGGGGGCGTGGCAATGCATGGGAGTCAGGGCTACGTGTGCTGGCATTTGCGATTAGGGCTCCTCGCATAAGTGCTGAGCCATGATGATGCACTCTAGCTCATAAACACACACACACACACACTTACTCACACACGCATATGCACATATACATTTCATTTATTCTGATGATGCGACAGTTTTGCCAGGCCTATTTATATGGCCGCTGTGCGGCAGTTTTTCACGTTCGTTTTTTCTTTTCTTTTTGGCATTTTTGTGTGTATTTATGTGTTTGTAGTGCACACACACACACACATACACGCGCACACACGCATATTTTTACAACATATAACTGCAAGCTGTAAAAAAGGCGTAAAATTAAGTTTAACAAACGAACAGCATGAGCCGTTGGCTGGCGGGGCAAGTGAGGTAACTGCGAGAGACAAAGGGGTGATGGGTGACCGAGAGGAGGAGATGCAAGAGAAAGCAGAGGGGGAAGAGAATTTGGCTCTGCAGCGTTTTCACTGTTTGGGAGTGTTTCAGGCTGAAAATGCAGGCAGGAAATGCAAACTCGCATGGCGAATACAGTGAAATACACACACAGACACACACACACATACGCACACACATTCAAACACACGGCTCGGCAAAAGAAAAACTTTCAAGCGCTATTTGTTTGAGTGTAAATAATCACAAAAAAAAGAAGAAGAAAACAGCAGCAGCAAAACGAGTTAAAAACAAAAAACAACAAAAAACGAATTTACAGTAAAACGACATTTTAATGCCCTAGCGGAAAGAAAAAAACAATACACATTTAGTGGACAATTATAAATATCTTTTATGAAAACTCAGAGAAAAGAGTTTTATTTAACTTTTGAATTGCATTGCATGAAAAGATAAGCAAATAAATATATATGAAGAGTGTATGTAGATCAGTGACTACTCTCTCTATATAGTCTCTCTATATATCTGTAATATGTATATATAGGAAACATAATATGTGATGTATATGATCGTGAGTGTGTATTATTCTCTCCCTTGTAACTTAAATGTGTAGGTC